GAACGTACGTTGCGAAGTGCAGTGTCAGTGAGGCCTGGTAACTTCCAACGCAAAGCACAGATACAGACACACCCCTACCCACAGAGAGAGACACACACAGACACACACACGCATACACACACACACACACACGCACGCACACACACACACATACACACACACACGCACGCACACACACAAACACACATACACGCACACACGCACACACACACACATACACACACACGCACGCACACACACACACACACCTGGGGATCGCCACAGCCTGAGCGCCGCCAGTCGGAGATGAAGGCCGCCATGACGGCAACTTTGTTCTTGCTTCGCGCATGCACCCGTTCAAACAGCCCACACACCTCCCGAAACGTCACCGTGTCCTGCAGTGGCATGGCGCCTTGTGGAAGGAAGGAAAGGGAAGGGAAGGAGGAGGGAGGAGAAGAAAAAATCTGCTGTGTCGTCCATCCATCCATCCATCCATTTTTTTTATTCCTTTCTTCGTCCTCCATTCACATCAACACGCCACACAACAAGCAAAGCATTTCACAACAACAAGCCACACGATCGTCGATTCGCCATGTCCGGCGGAGAGAAGAGAGCGAGGGAGGAGGTGGAGGCCTTGCTGGCGCAGACGGAGTTGCTAGCGTTCTACGAGGGCGAGGAGCTCGAGGAGGGCATGGAGGTGGTGAGCGAGGATAGTGTGAAGGACACGATCAGGGCCATCGCCAACAACACGTGTGGGGATTTTGAGAAGTGAGTACAACAAAACGGCACATTGCTGTGTTGGAAACAGCACGCACCCTGCATGCACTGCTCTCTGCTTACCTTGTTGCTGGGCTGTTCGTGTTGGGCAAGCCACAATCGCCATGGCCGTCGGTGACTTATTGCCTGCTTGTGTTGCTCTTGGCACATGTTGAATGGCAGCTTGGATGAAATGGCCAACGGCGTCAGTGGGGCGCGTGCGGTGGCAGAGGCGCTCAAGGACAACACCTGCCTCAATACACTCTGGTTCGTCCTGTGGTGATTTGAGCTGCATCGTGTGGCATGTATGTAGTTCGGGTTGGGCTGCTTCATGCTGGTTGTTGGCCGACCTTTTCTCCTGTTTGTGTGCTCATGGCATGTGTTTTGACCGACCCCTTTCCGTGTTGACAGGCTGGGAGGCAATAATATCGGCGATGAGGGCGTTGCGGCGTTGGCAGAAATGCTGAAGCACAACACGACCATGACATCACTCAGGTGGGGGTGCACATATGCATGTGTGGATGGACATGGGCTGCGTCACGTTGCACTTTTATCCCGTGCTGTGTGCATGCAAGTGTGTGATTGGTGGTGTGGGTTCAACGACTGTGTTGCCACCCACAGTAATCATCACGCACTCACCCTCCCTCACCCATATGGCATCATCGCCCTGCGTGGCATCATCCCATCTTGACAGCCTGTGGCGCAATGACATCGGTCCTGAGGGCGCTGTTGCGTTGGCGGAGATGCTGAAGCACAACACGAACATCGAAGAACTCAAGTGCGTGTAAACACATGCATATATGGATGTAAATGGGCTGCGCCACTGGCGTTGCACTTTTATCCCATGCTGTGAGTGCGAATGCACATGTGTGGTGGATGGATGAGTTCAATGGCTGTGTTGCCACCCACAGCAATCATCACGCACTCGCCCTTCCTCACTCTTGTGGCATCATTGCCCTGCGTGCCATCATCCCATCTGGACAGCCTGGCAGCCAACTCCATCGGCGGCGAAGGTGTTGTTGCGTTTGCGGAGATGCTGAAGCACAACACGGCTCTCAAAACATTGGAGTGAGTGGAAGAACCACTTTGGCAATGTGCCGTTGCATTGTTCCTGCATTCACCATGTACAAATCGAAGCACAGCCAACCAGCCAGCCATGCACGACGTCTCTATCATGGGGGTTTGCGCAAAGAAATCATCCCCCCCCCTTAATTTCTTCTTTCACTGTGACATGCGTGCTGCCACACCTTGTGCCACTGGCATTGTCCCTTGTGCCTGTGCGACCATGACTGAAAGTCACATCATGTCACCCGAATGCAAGCTCACGTGTACGCAATCCATCCACGACCCACTTTCATCCATGCCACTGACCCATTGTTCGCTCTCCCTTCACGGCTTCGTGTCCCATTCCCCTGTTCCATTCCCATTCCCACACACCTGCTTGCTACTGTCAGCCTGGGCGACAACTCCATCACGCCAGTTGGCGGTACGGCGCTGGGAGCCGCCCTGGACCAGAACCGCACGCTGGAAGGGCTTGAGTGCGTCGATTGCGTTGCGCCTGCCTCATGAACACCTGTGTCCTGTTGTGGGCAATGTGGTCCATCACCACTCTTTGTGTGCACGCCACAGCACACCATGTTCCTCCGCTTACCCTTGCATTTCTCCACAACCACCCCCTCCCCCAAAACAACTCGTGCACACCATACTTGCTCCCTCCTCCTCAACCAACACACATCCACCACGTGTCCGCGTTCAGCATCAAGGGCAACTCCGCCGCCACCGCCCGCGCCTTTGGTGCCGCGCTGCCCGTCGACCGCGAGATCGGCACTATTTGGTCAGTCCACGTGTGTGCTTTCCCTTCCTGTCATGCGCTGTCTCTCTGCTCTTCTCCTCTCACGTGCTGCGTTCTACTTGCGTCCCATCTTATGTGTGGAACCACAGGTATGACGACAAAGAGGGCAAGGCCGCCTTCAACGAAGCGCGCAAGAAGAACAAGATCAGGGCCATCGCCAACAACACGTGTGGAGATGAAGTGCGGTGAGTGTAAGAACCCGATCCAACATGCTGAAACATACACGCTTGATGGGGAAAGAATAGCAGGACACGTGTGTTTGTGCATGTTTTTTTTTTTTTGCGTTTTTCTTTGCTTGTCCTTGTTTTTTTTTTTTTTTTGTGAGGAGCTTGGCTTTGTGTTTGGGTACGTGTGCGATCGCACAACTCGCACCACAAGAGTGTACCTGTGGTAGTTGTGGCTTACACCCTCGCGTTTGCACCCTCCTCATACGCTTGCTCATGACACAATTTGGAATTGCAGCCTGGTAGGAAATGACCTCGGCGACAGTGAGACGCGTGAGGTAGCCGAGGCGCTCAAGGACAACACGTGCCTCAAAGAGCTCATGTGCGTGGTGACGTGGATTGCACCGTGTGACATGCACAGTCGATTGGGTTGCTGTTGGTGCATGCTGCGCCCTGTTTCCCCTCCTTTCATTCATGCATTGCTTCTTGCGCGTGGTGTGTTTGCTCACCCTCGCTCCTGCTTTGCGTGTGCACAGCCTGGTACACAATTCCATCAGCGACAAGGGTGCTGTGGCGTTGGCGAAGGTGCTGAAGCACAACAAGTCCCTCACGGAGCTCAAGTGAGTGTGAACACACGTGAATAAAGGCGCCCTCTGTGCTCGTGTGTGGCTTTGATGTGCAAGTTCAGTGGCTGCTTACCACCCATTGTGCTCGTCACCCACTCATGCCTGCTTTCCACTGCACATGCTGCCATCAACATCCCACTTCCTCCTCTCTTGTGTGTGCACAGCCTGCAGGGAAATTCTATCAGTGTTGAGGGCGCTGTGGCGTTGGCTGAGATGCTGAAGCACAACACGACCATCACAGGCCTCAGGTGAGTGGGATCACACATACATTGAAAGCACCCTCTGTGCTCGTGTGTGGCTTTGATGTGCAAGTTCAGTGGCTGCTTACCACCCATTGTGCTCGTCATCCACTCATCATCCCTCCTCACCACCATGTGTGCTGTCATCAACCTTCCATTCCCCTCCTCTCTCTCTCTGTCTCTCTCGTGTGCACAGCCTGGAGAGCAACTCCATCAGCGACAAGGGTGCTGTGGCGTTGGCGAAGGTGCTGAAGCACAACACGACCCTCGAACGACTCAGGTGAGTGTGAACACCCCGTGAATTAAAGGCGCCCTCTGTGCTCGTGTGTGGCTTTGATGTGCAGGCCAATGGATGCTTACCACCCATTGTACTCGTCACCCACTCATGCCTGCTTTCCACTGCACATGCTGCCATCAACATCCCACTTCCTCCTCTCTTGTGTGTGCACAGCCTGCAGGGAAATTCTATCAGTGTTGAGGGCGCTGTGGCGTTGGCTGAGATGCTGAAGCACAACACGACAAGCACCAACACCGAACATCACCAGGACCTCTAGGTGGAGTGGGGATTGGGATCACACATACATTGAAAGCACCCTCTGTGCTCGTGTGTGGCTTTGATGTGCAAGTTCAGTGGCTGTTTATCCATCATGTCCTCGTCACCCACACTGCATATGCTGTCATCAACCTCCCACTTCCTCCTCTCTTGTGTGTGCACAGCCTGCAGGGCAATCCTATCAGTACTGAGGGCGCTGTGGCGTTGGCTGAGATGCTGAAGCACAACACGACCCTAGAAGGACTTGGGTGAGTACACACACACATGCATTGCAGGCATCCTCTAAGCATGTGCTCGTGTGGTCTTGGTCGTGCATGTGCACTTATTCAGGCTCATTGGCTGTTTGGCGTCCCATGTACTCGTCATCCACTCATCGCTTCTCCTCTCCACCACATATGCTGCCATCACCCTCCTTCTCCCCTAATTACTCTTGTGTGCGCAGCCTGAACGACAACACCATCGGCGACAAGGGCGCCGTGGCCATGACAGAAATGCTGAAGCACAACAAGTCCCTCACGGCTCTCGTGTGAGTGCAGGCATGCACATGCATTGAAGGCACTCACTTTGAGCACGTATGCTTGTGTGATTTGCGAGTTTTGCAGTGTAGCAGGCTCACTGGCTGCTGGCCATCCACTCATCACCCCTCATCACCACCACCATGTGCGCTGTCATCAACCTCCACCCTGTCCCTCCTGTCTTGTGTGTGCACAGCCTGGAGAGCAACTCCATCGGCGACCAGGTCGCTGTGGCGTTGGCGGAGGTGCTGAAGCAGAACATGACTCTCCAATATCTTTTGTAAGAGGAAACCCTCCCCTCGTTGACAATTCGCGATGTGCAAATCGAGGCACTGCCAGCCATGCACCATGTCTCTGCTCTGTGCTTGTTTTGCCACAAGTGCTTCCATCTTTCACTGTGACATGCGTGCTGCCACACCTTGTGCCACTGGCATTGTCCCTTGTGCCTGTGCGACCATGACTGAAAGTCACATCATGTCACCCGAATGCAAGCTCACGTGTACGCAATCCATCCACGACCCACTTTCATCCATGCCACTGACCCATTGTTCGCTCTCCCTTCACGGCTTCGTGTCCCATTCCCCTGTTCCATTCCCATTCCCACACACCTGCTTGCTACTGTCAGCCTGGGCGACAACTCCATCACGCCAGTTGGCGGTACGGCGCTGGGAGCCGCCCTGGACCAGAACCGCACGCTGGAAGGGCTTGAGTGCGTCGATTGCGTTGCGCCTGCCTCATGAACACCTGTGTCCTGTTGTGGGCAATGTGGTCCATCACCACTCTTTGTGTGCACGCCACAGCACACCATGTTCCTCCGCTTACCCTTGCATTTCTCCACAACCACCCCCTCCCCCAAAACAACTCGTGCACACCATACTTGCTCCCTCCTCCTCAACCAACACACATCCACCACGTGTCCGCGTTCAGCATCAAGGGCAACTCCGCCGCCACCGCCCGCGCCTTTGGTGCCGCGCTGCCCGTCGACCGCGAGATCGGCACTATTTGGTCAGTCCACGTGTGTGCTTTCCCTTCCTGTCATGCGCTGTCTCTCTGCTCTGAACTCTTCTCCTCTCACGTGCTGCGTTCTACTTGCGTCCCATCTTATGTGTGGAATCACAGGGAAGATGCCTCTGAGCGCAACGCCTTCAACAAAGCGTGCGAGGAGAGGAAGCAACACGAGACCACGCACACCGACCAAGAAGACCAGCAACAGGACGCGCCTGCGACCAATGAGCAGCAACAGCACGAGCGCCTGCTCAGTGCCTGCAAGGCCGGCAATGTCGCAGCCGTCACCTCCCTCATCATCCGGCACAATACAGACGTCAACCAACAAGATAAACAGGTGCGTGCATGTGTGTGCTTGTGCTTGTGAAGCGGATGGCTCACTCGTGCAGCGAGCTGTGTGTATGTTGCCATGACTCTCACCACTTGCCCTCTTTCCCACTCCCACTGTCCATCATCCAACCACAGGGCGACACGCCGCTGCACGTTGCCTGCAGGCAGAACCAATCCGCCGTCGTGGAGCTGCTCCTGAAGAAGGGCGCAGACACCTCCATCAAAAACAAACAGGTGATTTCTCTGACACTTGCGCTTGTGCTTGTACTTATGGTCGTGCGTCCGCTGATCCACAGCTTCTCCCCTGTCTGTCTTCGTGTTCCCATCTCCCAAACTTGCTGCCCATTCACGCACATGACATGCAAATGCGCTTTCGTCGTCCTTTGTAGGGGGAGACACCTCACGATGTAGCCAAAGCCAGCGGCCACACCGCCATCACCACCGCCATCGAGGGCCTCAACCCAGGCAGCGAGAAGCAGCAGCAACAGGGAACCACTGCTGCTTCGGACGAAACAGACGCAGAGCAGGTACGTGCAGACGAAACACATTGTCCTTTGTCATGCCGCACCACTTCAGGCATTTGTTCCTGTGAACCTCTTGCAACACACGTCCGAATTAATGTCTTGCGCGCCGCCATCATACACCATCATCCATTCATTCCCCGCCAACGCCAACCACCATCAACGCTCTTCCCTGTTGACATTTTTTCTGTGTGAACCCGTTTTGATGTACACAGGTGCACAGGGAGGCGGTGCAGGCGCGCATGATGGACATTGCAGAGCGTTCCGACACGCACATGGCGGGGAGAGCCAAGATGGGAGTATCTGGCCAGGGCCGCGCGGGCAAGACGACGCTTATGGACTCGCTTCAGGGCAAGCCGTTCAACAAGCAGCAGCACTCCACACTCGGCGCCACCACCAACGACATGAGAGTCACCGTCCACACCATGGAAGTGTGCGACTGGAAGGTTCGTTTAGTTGCCTGTGTGTGTGCGTGTGTGTGTGTGCGTGTGTGTTGTCTGTTGGTGTGTGTGTGCGTGTGTGTGTGTGTGTGTTGTCTGTCGGTGTGTGTGTGTGTGTATGTGTGTGTGTGATATGTGCATCCACCTTGTACCAACACCTGCTTCCACCATCATTCGATCAATCACCACCTTATGTCTTTGTTCACCAACACTCACAAACACCCACCCTTCCACATCTCGTGCAGGAGAGCGACCAGAGCACGTCCGAGTTCATCCGCAGTCTCGTTGGCACGGCGATGGCACGCGAGGCCGGCGTGGACGAGGAGCTGAAGCGCGCGTCAGCAAAGGCACGGGCGCAGCACGCCACCCGTGTTACCGAGCAACAGCACGAGGAGGCCAAGAAGCAGGCCAAGAAGCAGGCCAGGACGGATGCCAAGAAGCAGCGCAAGAAGAGCCATGGCACATCCACAACTTCCACCCCCTCATCCGACAAGGCGTCCACCGCAGCCGTGCCTGCACCTGCTGCAGGTCGTGATGCCTCCACAGCAACGCCTGCAGCAAAGGAGCAGCACCCAGCTTCCAGCCACGCCGACGTTGGTGACGACGATGCTGACGTCGTTGCCGTGACCACCCCATCCGTTTCGAAGGAGGAGGTGGAGAAGGCAATCAAGGACATGGACTTTGATGCGACAATTGGCGAAGGCAAGATGCAGGTCTCCTTCAAGATCTTCGACCTGGGCGGCCAGTCCACCTTCTACGTCTTTCACCCTTTCTTCCTCACCAAGCGAGTCACTGTGTTTGTGTGTGTTTGTGTGTGTGTGTGTGTGTGTGTGTGTGTGTGTGTGTGTGTGTGTATGTGTGTGTGTGTGCGTGTGTGTGTGTGTGCGCGCGCGCTGTGGGCTACGTGCTGTCAACACCCCCCCCCCCCCCACCACCACCCTTCTCACATCCCCACCCTTTACCTCCCAACCTCCCCACAACAGGTACGCAGTGTACCTGCTTGTGTTCTCCATGGAAGGACCTGCTGCACCAAAATGAGAGCAAGCGGACCGAGGCGGGGGAGTTTTATGGAGCACTGGCTCCTCCTCCCTCCACCTCCATGGAAAAGGGGCGCCCGTCCTCATCGTCCGCACCTTCGCTGAGGTGTCAGTCCGCGGAAACAACATGGAGAAATCTTGCGTGAATTCCCAGGCGCCTGCGCCCCAAACACGGCCTTCGCT